CTGGGAACCTATCTGCCCCGGAGACCACAGGGAGACAAACATTATATACTGGGAACCTATCTGCCCCGGAGACCACAGGGAGACAAGCACGATGTACTGGGAACCTATCTGCCCCGGAGACCACAGGGAGACAAGCACGATGTACTGGGAACCTATCTGCCCCGGAGACCACAGGGAGACAAACATGATGTACTGGGAACCTATCTGCCCCGGAGACCACAGGGAGACAAGCACGATGTACTGGGAACCTATCTGCCCCGGAGACCACAGGGAGACAAACATGAGGTACTGGGAACCTATCTGCCCCGGAGACCACAGGGACACAAACATGTGGTACTGGGAACCTATCTGCCCCGGAGACCACAGGGAGACAAACATGATGTACTGGGAACCTATCTGCCCCGGAGACCACAGGGAGACAAGCACGATGTACTGGGAACCTATCTGCCCCGGAGACCACAGGGAGACAAACATGAGGTACTGGGAACCTATCTGCCCCGGAGACCACAGGGACACAAACATGTGGTACTGGGAACCTATCTGCCCCGGAGACCACAGGGAGACAAACATGATGTACTGGGAACCTATCTGCCCCGGAGACCACAGGGAGACAAACATGAGGTACTGGGAACCTATCTGCCCCGGAGACCACAGGGAGACAAGCACGATGTACTGGGAACCTATCTGCCCCGGAGACCACAGGGAGACAAACATGATGTACTGGGAACCTATTCGCCCCTGAGACCACAGGGACACAAGCATGAGGTACCGAGGACTGAATCTGCCCCGAAATCTGCCAGGGAGGCAATCGTGAGATACTGAGGACTAATAATGCCCCGAAAACCCACCGGTCAAGCTGAAGGCTATATTCCAGCCATCAATTAAACCACAACAAAAACATTCACGACAGTACACTCAGGGACATTTAGCCTGCAAACATCGCTTGATGAAATCACCCTCCCACACACACACATTAATGGTGTCACGCACAGTTAGTCAGTCAGAATCATACATTGTCTACGATGCAAAACAATAATACATGTATAGCACATGGATTGATTCCAACAAGGTGAACTCTTGTATGCGCGGAAGTCCATTGATTCTTAGAAAACGATGATTGAGCGATTACAGGACCTGGCGTTGGATACAGGTCCAACTGTTAATATCCATGGGGAATGCATATGTGGCTTTGTACTTAGCTTTGCATGGATTCACAAAGGGGTATGTGAGCTAATTACAAGTATCTCCAAATTACATAGCGGGTAACAGCGAGCTACGAGGAATTATAGTTCCATGTTGAAGGCACGGGTAGGACGGGTAGCACGGGTAGCACGGGTGTCCCAGTCGTCTAAGGCGCCGCGTTTCACTGTGCAGAGTTGCTCCCTTGCGCACGCCAGAAACCTATGATTGTGGGTTCGAATCCCGGTTCGCCCCAATTATGTTTCTTGGTTTGTCAACACCATACCCGTGCTCGTGGGTTTCACCGAAGTGGTAAACGTCTGAGACCTGCATCACATCGGGCTTTCCTCCCACATTAAACTGACACGCCGCGATATAACTGGAATAATGTTAAACGCGGCGTTAAACCCAGCTCACTCACTCACTCACTCACTCACTCACTCACTCACTATAGTTCCGCGTTGAAGAAAGGTCGACGTCCAAAATCTTTGACTAGGACCAAGCGACCTTCATTCAAGGGAACTGTCATTCTCGTGTTTATTCCCAGACGGGAGCATGCTCCATTTTACTATTGTAATAATTATAATAATGATAATATATGCCCTTGTTTAGCGCAGCATTATGTAAAATACAAGCAACAAATCCCTTTCCTCAAGAAATCTCTTCCAAAAGTAGAGTAGACTGTAGGGCTCCAACCACACCATGAGCATGTGTCAAATCACTATCAAATAGTGATGACACCAGGTGTTATAAACGGTTTTCAAATAGTGATGACACTAGGTGTTATAAGCGGTGTATTAAATAGTGATGACCCCAGGTGTTATAAACTGTGTATCAAATAGTGATGACACCAGGTGTTATAAATGATTATCAAATAGTGATGACACAAGGTGTTATAAACTGTGTATCAAATAGTGATGACCCCAGGTGTTATAAACGGTGTATCAAATAGTGATGACCCCATGTGTTATAAACTGTGTATCAATTAGTGATGACACCAGGTGTTATAAATCGTTATCAAATAGTGATGACACCAGTGTCACAAGATGACACCTGTGTATCAAACAGTGAAGACCCCAGGTGTTATAAACTGTGTATCAAATAGTGATGACATCAGGTGTTATAAACGGTGTATCAGATAGTGATGACACCAGGTGTTATAAACGGTGTATCAAATAGTGATGACACCAGTGTCACAAGATGACACCTGTGTATCAAATAGTGAAGACCCCAGGTGTTATAAACTGTGTATCAAATAGTGATGACATCAGGTGTTATAAACGGTGTATCAGATAGTGATGACACCAGGTGTTATAAACGGTGTATCAAATAGTGATGACACCAGTGTCACAAGATGACACCTGTGTATCAAATAGTGAATAGTTATAAACTGTGTATCAGATAGTGATGACACCAGGTGTTATAAACTGTGTATCAAATAGTGATGACATCAGGTGTTATAAACGGTGTATCAGATAGTGATGACACCAGGTGTTATAAACGGTGTATGAAATAGTGATGACACCTGGTGTTATAAACGGTGTATCAAATAATGATGACGCCAGGTGTTATAAACGGTGTATGAAATAGTGATGACACCAGGTGTTATAAACGGTGTATGAAATAGTGATGACGCCAGGTGTTATAAACGGTGAATCAAATAGTGATGACACCTGGTGTTATAAACGGTGAATCAAATAGTGATGACACCTGGTGTTATAAACGGTGAATCAAATGGTGATGACACCAGGTGTTATAAGCGGTGTATCAAATAGTGATGACATCAGGTGTTATAAACGGTTTATCAAATAGTGATGACGCCAAGTGTTATAAACGGTGTATCAAATAGTGATGACATCAGGTGTTATAAACGGTTAATCAAATAGTGATGACGCCAGGTGTTATAAACGGTGTATCAAATAGTCAAGTTTCGAAGAAATCCACAGCAGAATACGTAATGGTCATAAGCAATTACTGGTGGTGAAAGTAGCTAAGACGATGACGTCACTGCTTACCAGATTACCGCACATTAGGCCTTCAGTGCTTGCGCTCGTTTTCCAAACCTTGGACGACCCAGATGTACCCGTGCTGGACAAGGTTTATCTCAAGTTAACCTTGGCTGACCAACGTAAGCACACGTTAACTCATTTACGTCATACTTCGGTGCCTACTGAATGTATTTATTTTGAAATATCAGGTCAGTATCTTGAAATTTCAAGAAAAAAAAGAAAAAAGAAATGGCCCTAAAAGGCTTCCGTAGGTCATGCTCATTCAACAACACTTTTTCACCAATCAGATCAGAGAACATACCTACTTTAATGTTAAATCATGAATAACAGCATTTTCATGAATATAATAAACTAGGTATTGGTAGTGTTATGCATTCTGATATTCGTCAGGGAAATTCAACTTTCGATTGTTGATAGAATCGATAATGTCACTTTGGTGGTGATTTTGTATCTCTGAGGTTCTGTGCGTTGTTTTAATCACTCTTGTCGTTTTACAATTATTAAACAACCTGTAAATCTCTCAAAGTTGTGTTTTATAACGACACACATGCCAGTTTTGGTCTCCTTCTCACAGCTGCCGTTTTGTGTTACACCTAAGGTTACCTTTTATGCGTTAATTGTGATTAAGACTGGTTGAATCACGTCAATCCTCATTGACAGAAATCTTTATTTGTTTGTTGTTTAACGCCGCACTCAGCAATATTCCAGCTATATGACGGCTGTCTGTAAATAATCGAGTCTGGACCAGACAATCCAGTGATTGACAAAATGAGCATCGATCCACGCAATTGGGATACGATGACGTGCATCAACCAAGTCAGCGAGCCTGACTACCCGATTCGGTCAGTCGCATACGACAAGTATAGTCGCCTTTAACGACAAGCATGGGTTGCTGACAATCTCATTAAAATCAGATCTTAGTTCTCGCTACCGCTAAACAAAGATCTGAGGACATCCCATTACGGGTCACGTCAGAACGACCTTTCGCGAATTTTGACCGACCAATGAAATGACTGACAAGAAATCGACATTAGCCAGTCAGAAGGCAGCTTTCTCGAGCTTCACGACACTAGTTTCAAACTGGCGACTGCATGCGCTTCAAAACATATTTTGACGTGTTCTCGATTAAAAAAAATAAAACTGATAAGAGGAACATGCTGGAATGGCTTATAGATGGCCTAGATTGTATGGATATAATCATAAAACCCGTAACTGTCGTTCGGAATACCCCGTGTTAAATATTTCGTGGTTGCATAATTAGAAAAAAACATTCCGACTGTCACTTTCATGATCTGGTAAGCGACGCTCTGATTGGTCGCATGAAAGGTCGTTCTGACGTGACCTCTTATGGGATGTCCTCAGATCTTTGTTCAGCGGTAGCGAGTACAAAGATCTGATTTTAATGAGATTGGGGTTGCTGAAGTCCTATTCTACCCCGGATCTTCACGGGTCTGTCATTAGAATGAATCGTAACAGGACCATGCAATTGGTATAGTGAGAATGGGGAATTTGGGTGCAGTCTAAACTTGACAAACAAACTAATTTAGCAGGAGTAAGAGTATTAGGCGTCAGAACAATCATCACTTGTTTGTAAACATAACAGTCGGTCGGGTGCAAGTTCAACTCCGTGCATGGTTGGGCCGCCTAGCACAGTAGGGAGCTGTGCCTGATGGCTGTGACGGTATAGAGAGCTCCGTGTACTGAGTGTCGCTGTGAGGAGCTTGTCTACACGTAAACAAGGTGACCTCAGTCTATTTTAAGCAGGTGCTGGCGAGAGGTGTCCTGGATAAGAATGATAAAACACGCGCACGAATGCACCTTGACATATTTCTGCATGTGGCTATTGACAAAACCTGGTTATAAAACCGACAAGAGGACTTTGGATTATAATCACATGATATGTTTTATCAGTGTCACTGTGGCTATCGGTTCATAACGTGTACCGCAAAGTCCTTAGTCATTGCTAGTCTGCACATTATGGTGGCTGCCATGATCTAAGTTTGCTTCACCTGACTGATAATTCAATAACCGACAGCTACGATGAAGAGAAACAGTGCCTACGCAGAATCTAACCGACAAGATTTTGCTGATATTAATTTTCGAGGAAATCTTCCCAGAGAAACCATGACAGAAGTTGAGGAGCTGAAAACAGAAATGGACGAAAGCCAGTTTGTCAGGATAAGGGGTTGGAGGATCAATAGAGTAATTGCTGTTACTCATCTGAATATATTTCTGTACGCCACATGCTTTTTTATCCAGAATGGAACCCTGCCCTATCTGTCAAAGAAACTTGGAGTAGATCCTGTAATGTTTGGATACCTTCAGACAACTTTCGCAATCGTCCAGTTAGCCGGAGGACCGTTGTTTGGTAGGTTTGGCGATTTGTTAGGTGGCCGAGCTGCCATGACCCTGGCTTTCCTTTCAGCAGCCCTTTCATATTTCATACTTGGTATGTCAACAAGCGTTCTTATTTTGTTTTTATCAAGACTTCCATCCCTCTTCATGCATGCGATGCAAGGTGGTCAGATGATTGTGACAGATATCGGAGATGCAAGTCAGAGAGCCGACGCCCTCGGGAAGTTGGGCATGTCTTTTGGCCTTGGAATGGTCGTTGGCCCGGTTTTTGGAGGAATCCTGACAAAGACTCTGGGAGAGCAGTTCGCAGCATTTATTGCTAGTGCTGGATCTATGCTAAGTGCTGCACTTGTTCTGATGTTTATACCCAGACACACCAAGAAGGCAGAGATACAGACAGACACTTCTGGAAAGAGCATCTTCAATGTTGAGAAATTCTTGCAGTTAATTATGGGCCCAGGAGCCATGTTTTTACTTCTAGTGCGTCTGGCATCAGGTGTTCCTATGGGAGTGTTTCAAAGTATGTTTCAAGTTGTTGCTCTGAATACATTCAAACTGACGCCTGACCAAAACGGCTTTCTTGTGTCCTACATTGGGATCACCGCCATGGTCGTACAAGGGATTGGACTCGGAGTTATAACCAAGAAATTCAGTGAAAATAACATTCTGAAGTGGTCAACCTTCATCCTAGCATGGGCCAATCTACTACTCTCCTTTGTGACAAATGTAAGTGAGTTTTGTCTGGTTTGTCTCCCCTTGATTGGAGGACTCATGGCACAGAACGTCATCAGCAGCAGCTCTCTAACAAGAACTGTCGCGGACGCGGACACTGGTGCTATGCTAGGACTCAACATGGCTGTGAACTCTCTAGTGCGGAGTGTGTCACCAACGATTGGTGGTTACATGTTGGAAAATGTTGGCTTTTCTTCCTTAGGGTATTTCGGCTTTCTGACCAATGCTGTCGTCACTCTCATCCTCTTCTGGAAGTTCAGATCTCAAAGTCCTAGTATGTAACTATAAGCAGTTTGACAGTGAGAGTATGTGTGTAATACTGTTTATGTGTGTAATACGATGTCAAATGCATAGATGCCAAACTTGATGCGATAGTTTAACAATGACGACACCAATATAGGAGTCTTGGTGAATAATCGCCATTACTAGCCACCGTAGCCACGGCTGCGGATTTCGTATGCAGAAGAACATGTTTCAAATGGATGGACTGCGTCGATGAAATTGGTTGCTTATTATTTTCCCCGAAGTCCAAACGCTTCCGCCAACAATGTGCAGTACCTGGATCCTTATGGTGGAGAGGGTTACCCTTGGTGATTTGAAAAGTCGTCCACGGCAGAAATGACTGCATCACCATTTGAGAGGTGGCAGTTCAAGGTCTTGGATCATCTTCGAGGCTCTGTCTTCCCCTTTTGAACTCCACTGTTCATTTGGTAACACTGACAAAGGGAAGAGCATCATCCCCTAAAGGTGACACCATGTCCGCACGGATGACCATTGGCGCCCTTTCAGTTGGATATACGTGTTAACAGTGTGGTAGCATGGCTGGTGCACCTACATCAACAGAGAATACATTCATTTAGATGCCTGCAGGAATGTGCTGCCTGGCTGTGTCTTTGGTTCAAGTGCAGCCTGTAAACATGGACAGGATTGTACTTAAATACATGCAAACTGTTAAGGGTGTACTATACATCCTTCCTAGTCAGGCTCGGGGCGGTCGGGTAGCCTAGTGGTTAAAGCGTTCGCTCGTCACGCCGAAGACAGGGGTTAGATTCCCGACATGGGTACAATGTGTGAAGCCAATTTCTGGTGTCCCCCGCTGTGATATTGCTGGAATATTGCTAAAAGCGACGTAAAACCATACTCACTCACTCACTCCTACTTAGGCTCAGTACTTTTCAGACGCCCATCGTATGCAGTAGTTTCATGTCATTTATTTTGGGGGTCTTCAACTGAATTGGGCATCGTCTGTTATAACGTGTTTTAACTGGGGGAAAAGTGGTTGATTCATAGGTAATAATTTCGAATGATTATTTTTAAATTATAAGTTATAATTATAATTATAAAGTTTGTTTTAATCATTAAGGTCTTTTAGGCATCATGTTCTTACTAACTTAAAATATCCTGATTGATTGACATAATGAGTATTGACATCATCAGTTTTTCAAAGAATCACCAAAAAGAGACTCAGTATACATACATGGCGATTGTTAAAATTGTTTCTTCTTATGTTCAACCTTCTGTGTCTCTTGTCTTGTACATGTACTTGCATATATAGAAGTTAGATAAATCCGACTGTGTCCATGATGCTATCACAGTTGGTCAGGCTCGCTGACTGGGTCGATGCATGTCATCGATCCCAATTGCGTGGATCGATGCTCATGTTTTCAGTCACTGGATTGTCTGGTCCAGGCTCGATTATTTACAGACCGCCGTCATATAGCTGGAATATTGCTGAGTGCGGCGTTAAACAACAAACAAACATCTTAGATACAGCACACATATAGAGAGACATCCTAATCATGGTGACCACACAGTGTGTAACAATAGGAATTCCATTACTCTGCATTAGACACATACACTTCTATTCCATGTCATTTGACTATGGACCTGTCAGAGTGTATCATATGCTAAGTGTCATTATGATATAACAAGAGAAGTTGTACATTCAATATCTTTTTACACCTACTGGACAGTGTCTTACAGTCAGACAGGGGGCCAATACAAAAGTGTATTAGTTTGTAATTGTGTATACCAATTGTCCTCAGTTCATCCAAGTAGTTTTATACACCTTCACAAACCCTTCTCACTCTCTGTTTCCTCGCGTATGCCACAGGGCTTGTCGTAAGAGGATCTTGATCAGACCTTTGACAAATTTTAATCGGGAATTGTCCTATCAAAGACGGCATTAAATATCCTGAATGTGTGACTCAGTCCGGGGTAGAACAGGTCTTCAGCAACCCATGCTTGCCGTAAAAGGCGACTACGCTTGTCGTAAGAGGCGACTAACGGGATCGGGTGGTCAGGCTCGCTGACTTGGTTGAAGCATGTCATCGTATCCCAATTGCGTGAATCGATGCTCATTATATCTATCACTGGAGACTCTGGTCCAGACTCGATTATTCACAGGCCGCCGTCATATAGCTGGAATATTGTTCTGAGTTCGGCCAACCAACCAAGCAAGCTTATGCCAATCCACAATTCTATAGCTGATCACTGAGCTACCTTTATGCTCTTGTTTTCGTTTGCAAAAATACATCTTGCAAGATTGTCTTTATTTGATTGTGTCCGGGGTGAGTTAGTTCGTTCAAATGACTAGACGAGCCAGAATCACAAATAAACACTAGACTTGCTTCTGTCTTCACAATTCTGGAAAGGGTTGAACTGAATCCTAAACAATGCGAATCCAAGTTCAAACAGGACAAGTAAATAGTCATAGTGATATCCGTGTCAAGCGGTGAAATATGAACCATGCTTTAGATGTGAAGCCCCGCCCTGCACACTGCAGACTGATATAGAGGGGAGGTGATTATTGCACTTGTATACCGACGTGCATGCACGTGTGTGTGTGTGTGTGTGTGTGTGTGTGTGTGTGTGTGTGTGTGTGTGTGTGTGTGTGCGTGTGGCTGCTTGTACTAATCCGGAGTGATGCCGATTTATAGTGCTAGCACACTGAGATACCATGCTGCAGTTTAACATGAATACCCCACTCAGACACAGTATACTGACTCCGAGCCGACCAGTCCTTGTCTTAGCCCCTTAATGCCAAGCGCGAGACAGGGTAACAACAAGTACCATCTTTTAACGTCTTTTTGGTATGACGCGGACCTTCCGCTCTCCGGGCGGACGCTCTACCACTAGACCACGGAGGCGGTCAGACTGATATAGAAGTTAAGTCATATAGCGTACTGGGTCATTCCCATCACATGACATATTTTCATGTATTATCTATTTAGCTGTATACAAGTATCAGACAAATGATCGTTGTGTTTATCTCTTGATATGAAACAGCACATCCACGTAATGTTGTCGAGAACGTGTGAGGCTAGAGGCTAGCCTCTCATTTGATGCATTGACTTGTCACGCTAAGATTCGGTTTGTTTTGTTTGTTTGTTGTTTAACACCGCACTCAGCAATATTCCAGCTATACGTTGGTTTGTAAATAATCGAGTCTGGACCTGACAATCCAGTGATTGACACCATGAACATCGATCCACGCAATTGGCATACAATGACATGCATCAACCAAGTCAGCGAGCCTGATCACCCGATCCCGTTAGTCGCCTTTTACGACAAGCATGGGTTGCTGAAGAACTATTCTAACCCGGATCTTCACGGGTCGAAGTTAGGTGAGGTGAAATGGGGTTAAACGTCGCGTCCAAGATTATTGCACTTATATAGCGACGTGCATGCACGTATTCCAGCAATACGGCGGGGACACCAGAAATGGGTTTCACACATTACACCCACGTCGGGAATCAAACCCGGATCTGAGCGAACACTTGCAAAGAGGTTGGCGACGTGTTCATGCACGACTCCACCGACGGCGAGAGGCTAATGATGTTCACCACCGACAGGAACGTTGAGCTGCTGCACTGTATACATTTTACACGTCTCCTCGTCTATTGGATCAGATTTATACCGTCCAAGGCGATCACCAAGGTCAAATCTGTCCTCTATCTACTGTCTTCAACCGAACCAACAAGAGACATACGTCCGTGTGTTTGAATATATCCAATCAGCTCCTCAAACCCTAGGATTTTACTTCGACGCTGCTGTTTTCAGTTGGACTTCGAACTTGCAGTTTATAATAAAATGGGTGAAGTGTTCCCAAACACCAACGCTCCTGAAGAGTGTTACTTCCGCTTCATAGTCCTTTGCCCAGAAGCCCATCCTACTATCTAGGAGGGGGTACACGAGAGCTTTCCGAGACGGAAGTTAAGTGCTCGTGTACACGGAGGAGGACAATGAACAGTTCCTTTTTGGACACGCAGATACGTCACCATAGCTACCAGATTCCGTGTCCTGAAGGAGGGGCTTATGACACATCTCACGTCGGCAGGGGCGGCGGCGTAGCCTAGTGGTTAAAGCGTTCGATTTCCCACATGGGTACAATGTGTGAAGCCAATTTCTGGTGTCCTCCTTCGTGGAATATTGCTAAAAGCGGCGTAAAACCATACTCACTCGCTCACTCTCAGGTCGGCAGCTGAGTTCACCGAGTTGATACATCTCGAGTCAATGTACGGAAACAATCCGTGCTGCTATGGGTAAATTGAGATCAAAATGAGATCACACGTATTTTTATATGTACCGTATTCGACATAATAAGCGCCAAGGGCGCTCTCAAAATTAGAAATAGGTGGCTCTTATTAGAATATTATTTTGGTGAAAAACAACAGAATTGAAAGATCGTAAATTTCGTGGTTTATGCTGACAGCCTGAAATGTTTATATACGACAGATATAATTTTCCAGAATATAATTTTTATAATTAAGGACGCATATAACACACGTATTATACACGAATAAATACGTTTCGTGTACATTGAACTATCGGAAGGGGTGCTAATTGGGATTGTTCACTAGCCAAATATTAGTAAATATCGCCGGGAGGGCTTATTACGTCGAATACGGTATATTTATATGTAGTTCAATATTATGCGGGTTTTTAAAAAAGATAAAAAAGAGCGACACAGAGATCATAGCCGATCGCATTTGTTGATATCATATGTTGATATTTATATAGAATGTACATATTCATGTACATTCATACTGACTGCAATAGTCGGTGTCTGTGTTGTAGAAGTTTTGTCTTCTTGTTTTTACGATACACCGGTAATCTGGACATCGACTTTTCAGATTCACTCCACCACAGCAGGTACCTCGAGATCGAACGAATCTGCAGTGGTACATATATTCGATTCCCCGTCCACAACCCACCTTAAATGCTAATATTTGTGGGGAACCTTCTCACACACATATATCAAAGAAAAGAAATCGAACCAAGGAACTAGTTTTTCAACAAGAACTTTATGTTGTGATAGTTATCACTGTACTGTATTGTTGCATATTGGGGGCACGGGTGGCCCAGTCGTCTAAGGCGCCGCGATTCGCACGCCAGAAACCTATGATTGTGGGTTCGAATCCCGGTTCGCCCCGATTATGTTTCTAGGTTTGTCAGCACAATACCCGTGCTCGTGGGTTTAACCGAAGTGGTAAACGTCTTAGACCTGCATCACTTCGGGCTTTCCTCCCACATAAAGCTGACACGCCGCGATATAACTGGAATACTGTTAAAAGCGGCGTTAAACCCAACTCACTCACTCACTCACTATTGTTGCATATACAATTTGAATCATCTTCAATTCCTTAAGCTAAACTAGACTTCTCTGTAACAAAACACGTTTCGTTGTTCAGGAACGAAGATTTATTTCTGTAAGTACAAAATGGTTCTACTCCTGGCTCTGGCTCTCGGGACCTTTTCCCTGTGTTGCTGGTGATGTTAGCCTGTCTCGGTCTGCCGTCTGTCTGCCGTCTCTGCAAAACACCTCCATCACGTGTGTCTGGGTTGACGGTGGCCCAGAGTTTGCATCGTGGCGAACGTCAGCAGTTCTTATTCTTGCTGCGTAAGGGATATTTAAATCCAGTCTATCTATCTGCCTTGTAATGACTACATGTTCACACCACGTGCTCTTGCTTGACCAGCAAGACTCTTGCTTGGTCAGCGAAACATCATAGGGTATCTTATCTTCCTTACCGAGCGGTCATATGGCAACTCTGTGTATTTCAGAGTTGGCCAGTAATTAGCCTGTTCAGCACAAGATAGCCAGTAATTGTCATCGTATACATCCCTGCTTTGACAAACAAAGTAGTTAGGATATTTGTTGAGTCTAGCAATCTTATTAGGTGTATGTCACCGATGTCGATGTAGACTGACCCTTTTGCTGGACAGCTATGTTACACTCGCCCCCTATCAATTAGAAATATCCCTTGGAGATTTCTACGAGCCAGTTTAACACATTCAAATCAACGAGCCAATTTAACACATTCAAACTAATTTAACAATTTTAGCCAATTAATTGCTAATAGTTATAATCCTCTTAATAAACTTATAATTCATGCAAATGGACATGGTTTGATATATTTACACAAGTCAAACAGTTAACAATAATCATTATTACCTGTCCAATCGTATATCTGTGTTGACTACCCAGAGCAACACATTCCACTGGGAGAATACTCTCCACGATTATAGTGTAAGGCTATTATAAGTGTTCTGTTCGCATGGGGAACTTTTTCCACCATTATTTTGTGTAAAAAATCTTTTGGAATTGTTCTGTACACACAGGAGAACTCTGTCCACCATCATTTGGATTATAATTGTTCTGTACACATGGGGAACTCTGTCCGCCGTCATTTTGAGTATAACAGTTCTGTACACACAGGAAAACTATGTCCACCGTCATTTGGATTATAATTGTTCTGTACACATGGGGAACTCTGTCCACCGTCATTTGGATTATAATTGTTCTGTACACATGGGGAACTCTGTCCACCGTCATTTGGATTATAATTGTTCTGTACACATGGGGAACTCTGTCCACCGTCATTTGGATTATAATTGTTCTGTACACATGGGGAACTCTGTCCACCGTCATTTGGATTATAATTGTTCTGTACACATGGGGAACTCTGTCCACCGTCATTTGGATTATAACTGTTCCGTACGCATGGGGAACTCTGTCCACCGTCATTTGGATTATAATTGTTCTGTACACATGGGGAACTCTGTCCACCGTCATTTGGATTATAATTGTTCTGTACACATGGGGAACTCTGTCCACCGTCATTTGGATTATAATTGTTCTGTACACATGGGGAACTCTGTCCACCGTCATTTGGATTATAATTGTTCTGTACACATGGGGAACTCTGTCCACCGTCATTTGGATTATAATTGTTCTGTACACATGGGGAACTCTGTCCACCGTCATTTGGATTATAATTGTTCTGTACACATGGGGAACTCTGTCCACCGTCATTTGGATTATAATTGTTCTGTACACATGGGGAACTCTGTCCACCGTCATTTGGATTATAATTGTTCTGTACACATGGGGAACTCTGTCCACCGTCATTTGGATTATAATTGTTCTGTACACATGGGGAACTCTGTCCACCGTCATTTGGATTATAATTGTTCCGTACGCATGGGGAACTCTGTCCACCGTCATTTGGATTATAATTGTTCTGTACACATGGGGAACTCTGTCCACCGTCATTTGGATTATAATTGTTCTGTACACATGGGGAACTCTGTCCACCGTCATTTGGATTATAATTGTTCTGTACACATGGGGACCTCTGTCCACCGTCATTTGGATTATAATTGTTCTGTACACATGGGGAACTCTGTCCACCGTCATTTGGATTATAATTGTTCCGTACGCATGGGGAGCTCTGTCCACCGTCATTTTGAGTATAACAGTTCTGTACACATGGGGAGCTCTGTCCACCGTCATTTTGAGTATAACAGTTCTGTACACACAGGAAAACTATGTCCACCGTCATTTGGATTATAATTGTTCTGTACACATGGGGAACTCTGTCCACCGTCATTTGGATTATAATTGTTCTGTACACATGGGGAACTCTGTCCACCGTCATTTGGATTATAATTGTTCTGTACACATGGGGAACTCTGTCCACCGTCATTTGGATTATAATTGTTCTGTACACATGGGGAACTCTGTCCACCGTCATTTGGATTATAATTGTTCCGTACGCATAGGGAACTCTGTCCACCGTCATTTGGATTATAATTGTTCTGTACACATGGGGAACTCTGTCCACCGTCATTTGGATTATAATTGTTCTGTACACATGGGGAACTCTGTCCACCGTCATTTGGATTATAATTGTTCTGTACACATGGGGAACTCTGTCCACCGTCATTTGGATTATAATTGTTCTGTACACATGGGGAACTCTGTCCACCGTCATTTGGATTATAATTGTTCCGTACGCATGGGGAGCTCTGTCCACCGTCATTTTGAGTATAACAGTTCTGTACACATGGGGAGCTCTGTCCACCGTCATTTTGAGTATAACAGTTCTGTACACACAGGAAAACTATGTCCACCGTCATTTGGATTATAATTGTTCTGTACACATGGGGAACTCTGTCCACCGTCATTTTGAGTATCACAGTTCTGTACACAGAGTAAAACCACATCTCACACAGTTTACACTGATGTGGCTTCCAAAGTCTTGGTATGTTTGGACGTCTGTCACAGCATCATTCACATGAACAACACACCCTGGGCCCTCCCTCGGTGTCCCACCAACACCTAGTTACCCGTCACTGTCAGGGGGGATATAGACGTCGTACGGCATCAACTGCTGCCTCTGTTGACGTCTCCTCTTCCCTCAATGGCGCAGAAGATATCCCTCTTCTGTGGGCAATACCCATGCCCTCTGGCTCAGCCGTCGCCACCTGGTGTCCTGGTTTGACCATTAGTCCCGAGTTGTCTCCCTTACGTGTTGGCGCAGAACAATCGTCTTGTCCTAGGGTAGAAGCCTCTCCCTCCGAATTCATCAACGCCATCTCGTAACTGGGTGTGACCCTGGCAACTCTCTTACCTCTCCATCTCTGGGTTAACCATTTTCTGAACCTTTTATAACCTAATACCGTTACTATCATGCTTATTATAATTGATACTCCCAACAGTGCATAAGGCCATTTTGATTTCCTATTCTGTTTGACTTGATTCTGCATACTCCTCAGTTCATTTAGTAACTGATCCATAGGTATCGTTTTCAGATCTTTCAGGTGATCTGGTAATTTAGTTAGATTTGTCTTACTGAGGGTGGAATGAACAGGTTCCCACCATTTAAGACACGTCACATTGAATACTTTGACCGCTTCAAAGAAGTCTTCTTCAATGTGGAACTGATTCCTTTCGATAAAACAGGGGTAGGATTATGTAATCATTAGAAGCATAACAACTCATATTAAACCCATCTTCCCGAGGCAAGAGAGTTAATTGACTATAAAAGTACAGTTTCCACCCATGCCGAACTAGGCTCGTATTATGGAGTTACATTTTGGCTGGACTAACGAGTCTATGCATAGTCCAATCAAAATCACGCACCGAAATCGAAATCCGGTTCGTAAACTGCCGTGCAGATTGCGGTCGATTGCAGGATTTGCAAAGCATGTGCACCGCCAACTCGTTGTCAACAGTTATTTTCCAAACCTTTTCATGTTTTTAATCAAGGTACTCACGTGATTTGATGCATTTCGCGATGTAAGACCCGTTTTATCACAATATAGATCTTGATTATCGATCAGATCGTCCTGACTGGGCGCCACCATTTTGGGTGAAGCAAACGCAAGTGATACGAGAGGTGGAATCTCATTGGTCCATAGGAGAGGCTTAGAGGGGACATAAATGGTAATAGCCACTGGTGGCGCTACGTTCGAGTCCAGTAAATCCAGCCTAGTTCGGCAAGGGTGGAAACTGGACTTTTAAAGTCAGTTAACTCTCTTGCTTCGGGACAATGAATTAAGCCTGACTGCACCCATAGGTGGCTCTGCTTGTACTGTGGAGGTTACTGCAACATTGTCATGGCAGATAACTGAGAATACTTATTTTATCTTTGTAGCATTTACCCATACCCCATCTGTTAGATATTCGGCTGGAGGTAAAACAGAGTTCAACCTGATTATAGCTTGACATTGCTGTTTAAAATCATCTTCTCTGTTTACGAATAACGCAGTTATACACAATTTACTCAGGTTTATTGGATAAACAGGGCTTTGGGTGGAACAGTAACCCGTTAGTGGTTGGGTAGACACTTCTAGTTCTTCCGAGGTAAGTAATACAAATTTTGTTCGCTCAATATTCACTGCAAGTGTATTCGCTTCGAGCTGGTATTGCACAACCATATCAACTAACTTATTTGATGGTAGTTTATCTCCAAATCCGTCCGTCAACCAGTCTTTTCCAAGAATTATATTTCTGCTGATGCCACCGACAATATAGAACTTATGCTTCACAAGCTGTTTCCCTGCCCTAAATGGTATGGTTGCACATCCTTCGACAGCCAGTGGATTTTCATTGACTGATTGTAAAGAAATGTTTTCTGAAGATGACTTTGAAACACCTCTTAAAGTTTCATATAGTCTTGGGTGAATTAGAGGTACTTGTGCTCCTGAATCAACCAATGCCATATACCTACGTCTTCCTACTGATACAACACATGAGTTTGGGTTTCCCGCCAAATTAATTGTAAATAGTTCACTTTTTTTATTCGTCTACGCGTGTATTCCCCCGAGAAGAGACCTACCTAGTTCAAAGGATAGCGGTGATCTCCTCGTCCTTGATTCCTATGTTGATTAAACTCCGGGCATTGGTATTTATAATGACCTGGCCTGTTGCAATACCAGCATAACCCGTTATCTTGCCGTCTATTTTCTGTGCTCACTGCATTGACTGTTTGTCTACCACGTCTACAATCTCTGGCTTTATGTCCACCCAGGCCGCATTTGTAACACTTCCTAGGTGACCGATAATGGTCTACCTCCATCGGCTCATGAGCAGCCCTGTTTTTTCTATCAACCCGTTTATTGGTTCCTAACCTTAAGTCAAACATTTTTCTCAGATTTTGCTCTTTTATGGCTATTGTAACTGCCTCGGCAAAACTGTTGGGATTAACTCTCATTATCTTCATCTTTAAATAGTTATGTTTTAATCCTTCTACAAAGAATTCCACTAACTGGCACTCTATTGCCCCGTTCGAATTTTGATCATGCCCCATATATGCTTCCTCCGCCAAGGCTAAAAGTCTTTCCGCAAATATTTGTACGCTCTCTTCATTATTTTGCCTTAATTTCTGTAGCAGTGCGAATGCGTAGTGTGGGTCAGTGACCTCAGCAAATCGAGAAGTTGGCTCTTTTTTCACTACAGTCCAAGTATTGCTAGGATTGTCATGTAGGTATCGCTGTAGAAAATCACTCACAGGGCCACGGCTACTTTGAAAAGCTACTAGTTGATTTTTTTCTTCGGGAATTCCTGATAAACTAACATACTTGTCCGGAGACTTAATCACTTCTTTAAATCGTTTCGGGTCTCCCTCAAATGGTCTCACATGTTGTGACAGACTTTGAGACGTAATGGCCTGTGATAGTTGGCCTATTTGGTTTTCTACTGTCACTGAAAGTGGCCTGATACCAGCCATAATCGTTTCGTGTAAATTCCCTAACTGCACGGCCAGATGGCAGAACAAGGCTTCCATACCTTCTGCCATGTTAAAAATAAGTAATCTTATCTACCTAATAATTCCTATTCAAACTCTTTAAAACCTATTGCTAATAGCAATCACAACACAAAACCTAACAACATAGTTCAGAAATGGTCCCAGAGAGAGAGAGGGCAATGGAGAGAAAACCAAAAAGTCACTTACCCTGTACTTGATGTTTTTGCTTTCCTAAATCTGGGTCACGGCACCAAAAGAAGTCCCCTCTGTGTAACAAAACACGTTTCGTTGTTCAGGAACGAAGATTTATTTCTGTAAGTACAAAAATGGTTCTACTCCTGGCTGTCTCTCGGGACCTTTTCACTGTGTTGCTGGTGATATTTGCCTGTCTCGGTCTGCCGTCTGTCTGCCGTCTCTGTAAACACCTCCATCACGTGTGTCTGGGTTGACGTGGTGGAGTTTGCATCTTGGCGTGCTGCAGCAGTTCTTATTCTTGCTGCGTAAGGGATATTTAAATCCAGTCTATCTGCCATGTAATGACCACATGTTTACACTACGTTCTCTTGCATGGTCAGCGAAACATCATAGGGTATCTTATCTTCCTTAACAGAGTGGCCATATGGCAACTCTGTGTATTTGGCCAGTAATTAGCCTGTTCAGCAAAAGATCACCACTAATTGTCATGGTATACATCCCTGCTTTGACAAACAAAGTAGTTAGGATATTTGCTGAGTCTAGCAATCTTATTAGGTGTATGTCACCGATGTCGATGTAGACTGACCCTTGTGCTGGACAGCTATGTTACATCACACATATCCTGAACATTTTCGTAAAATACATTAAAACTGCCTTTTTGTTGTTTGAACAAAAAAGCCTATTTATATTGACACTTTATAATATATATGTTCGTTTGCCCGTGTTCGTTTTAATATTTTGCGATTCGTTTTTAGTATTACCCGAGTTTAATGCAATCCCTGAAAACTTGAGTTAATATTTTGCAACGAATGCAATATTTTAATGCATTGCCTCTCTTTGTTTTAAATCGGAAAGAGTTTAGAAATACAACAGGTTTTTTATGAGATTTTTAATAATTTTTAATAATTTCCATTTTCCATTAACACGTTGTATAATGTCCAGTTAAACTGAATGTCCTGTTGCTGTATGAACATATATAATTTGTTTGTTTGTTGTTTAACGCCGCACTCAGCAATATTCCAGCTATATGACAGCGGTCTGTAAATAATCGAGTCTGGACCAGACAATCCAGTGATTAATATCATGAGCATCGATCCACGCAATTGAGATACGATGACATGCATCAACCAAGTCAGCGAGCCTCATCACCCGATCCCGTTAGTCGCCTCTTACGACAAGCGTAGTCGCCTTTTACGGCAAGCATGGGTTGCTGAAGACCTGTTCTACCCCGGACTGAGTCACACATTCAGGATATTTAATGCCGTCTTTGTAGGACAATTCCCGATTAAAATTTGTCAAAGGTCTGATCAAGATCCTGTGATTCGTGGCGGGAAATTCACAAACAATCGGATAATGTTCAGGAAGCATCCCGATTCAGCCGTTTCCAGGCGATTCGTCCCGATTCTCCCGTTCTCAATCCGAATCTGATCCGATTTGTATCTTCCGCATGGTAAAAAAACGACCGAATCTGTCCCGACAGCGTCGCAATTCTCCCGAGATCAGACAGTGACCGGACAGTGAACCGACACAGACGGTTCGCATTCGGCAAGATCTGGACGCAATCTGGATTCAATCGACAAGAAACGGCAATGAATAATTCACGCCCGTTCATCACGACGGTAACCTCCCAAAACCCCTACATCCCATTTCCCCTACAGCTTAAGACAACAAAGTTCACGGTCCATGGCACTGCTAATCCCTAGTCTATTACCTATTTCATACAATGGAACAACCCAAGAAACACGAATAGATTGAGATAAATATTAAATTACGATTACGATATTATTCAAATTTCATAATACATTTTAATAAAATGTTCATTTTTCAAAATGTATAATACATTATAATAAAATGTTCATTTTTCAAAATTCATAATACATTATAATAAATTTCATCTCAAATGTTCAATTCACTCTTTATCCCAGCCTGAGGAAATGGCCAACCGCATCTAGAAACTGCATTGGGGATTTCACCTCTCTATTCAACTCGTCTATTCAAGACGGTTGTCCACCTCTCTGTACACTCTCTTCCTGCCTCTTGGAGCTGCTCCAAAGTCGAGCTGTAAAATCTTAGCTCGTTCTGCCTGTTCCACCTTCCTGACTACCTCCACAAATCGGTAGATGTTGGGATATCGGTGAGGGAGACCTCGGTTGAGTCGGTTATGAAAGCCTTCCAGGTTGTTGTTCGTCCTGGGACCTGTTGTACCATGATGGTTCCACAGTGGTAGGGGGAATCGTGCTCCGTGGTCGACCCAGGTAGTGACGATGTAGTCGCTGAAGGCGACAGCTCTCGGTACATCTGGTGTGGTGTCCGTTGCGTCAACCCACGTGTCCTCTGTAGCATTCCTCATCACGGTTCCTACTGTCGTGAGCCTTCCTCTACATGTGGACTTGACACACTACCAGTGTACGCAAGTCAGTCTCTCGACGTTCTTAGTGTGAAGATAACCATCAAAAAGGACTTGGGGCTTTCCTCTCTGTGACATAACAAACTCAACATAGCGAAGCCCAGACATGTTGATGTCATGTTAGTCAGTTTCAAGTATCTATATACTAAACCTAGCCATCTCAACTGTAAATCGTTCATCTCAGTTTCTCAGTGTAATAATTGTTTCTTCCAATTGTTATTTT